ATTATAATAAAATATATATAGGGTGTTTTATCTGAAAAAATTGAGTAAATTGAACTTAAGACTTATTTAAGACATATTTCACAACACCCTGTATAAAATAAACCAGTTCTATAACCACTATTCGTTAGCTTAGTAGCTTATAAGTCTGCACAATAACCAATTTTGAAATCAATGTAAACCTACCTAAATTATTAAAAAAAAATTGCTTGGCAAAACTGTAATATTTTTATAAATATTACCAAACCATTCTAAAAATAAAATAAAATAAAATACATAAAACATCAATTTTAATTTAAGAAAAATGTAAAACACTTATGAAAAAATCAATAATAAAAAAAATAACGAAGGAGGATTCAGTTTCAGTTGATACGTTGGGAAGAGTACTTCTACGTCCTCGCCACTGAGGGTGGCTCAACGTTTGGTAGTTATAATTAAGAAAGACCACGGCATAACAGCCCAGATCCAAACAATTACATATTATGCAATTATTTAAGTTTTAATTTATTTTTGTATTTAATTACATATTAGTTATGGTTTCCTTTTAGAACTATTTGAACACGTATTTTTTTTAAATTTTTATTTGGACATAATAAGACAGAATTTTAAGGATAAGCACAATTGTCTTACACCGTACTGAACATCATACATGCACAATTGTGTAAATAAAAGAAAAATAAAAATAAAATACCTTTTTCTACGATCACTATACAGAGTTTGTAGACTTTTTCGCTTCGAAATATAACCGTAAAGTAGACGTCTTCCGAGAACTGACATAAGGTGAGAGCTTTGTCGCTCACCGAGCGGAAAACCTGATAGCTTTATTGGTCGCCTAATTTAAATTAGCTATAATATAATATTTCTTTTTAATAAATGATTTTTAAGTTATTTGTACGTAGTTTGATGTTTTTTGTTTGATTATCCAAGTTAACATTGACTGAATTTCAACTCATTTTTTCATGAACATCGTAGATATAGGCAACACATTATACATTACTTACGACACATTTTCAGTTTTTATATTTTTTCTTAAAATAATGTGTAGGTTAGGTTAAGTTTATTACCGTCCAATTTCAAAGTCTCCAACGAAATACAAACTGACACGATACTAAACGAAGAATCATTCGATCGGCTGGAGCATTATGAATTGTGATTGGCTGGACATGTTTGCATTTTAATGTATGCTGATAATGACGCATAGAAAAGTGTTTATACTGTATATAGTCACGTGGTATTGAGATAGATAGGAATATAAGGCACCAGAGCCCAGGCACTAGCATTCCAGCGTCGTTACCTAAATACGCATCTGTCTCTTCCTCTCCTCATTCAACTATCTTACTTGTGAGTCTGGCGGTGCTTTCATGATTGAAAATGACAGCCAGACGTGTATTTTTTATGAAACTATAATATTATTTATCATGTGACAAATCCGAGAAAATAAAAGCAAAAATTTTGTAATTTTGACAATTTTCAAGATGTCGCCAGACTCATTTAGCAATTTCGTAAATCAGCCAGACTTACTTTTGATTACAGTTTATGACAGTATCAAATGATACCTTAAATTTCAAGGATGGGAAAATAAGATTTACGGATTTCAAAAATCGGTAAAATTTTTGGATCCGCAAATTTTTAGCCAGACTGATTTTCCTCCGGTTAGGATATGCCAGACTATTATTTCCATTAATAAAATGATTCACTTTAATAAATGTCAAGTATTTATGACTGGGAAAATAAGTGGACTAGTATTTTTTTTTCATCTAGTGTACCCATCCAAAAAATTTAACCTGACTCACAAATTGTCGTTTTGTGTCACCATCCGAACAAACAATGGGTCCTATGATTGAACGTTTACGTTATCCGTAATGTACATGTTAGACCGAGTTCTAACAGTAACGAGGCAAGTTCGTATGATGGAAAATTTTTTCCAACACATTACTGTTATTTTACGCATGTTATGTTCTAATTTAACAGTTTTCCATCATACGAACTTGCCTCGTTGCTGTTAAAACTCGAACATGTACATTACGGATAACGTAAATGTTCGATCATAGCACCATTGTCACATTCACCGACTGCGAAAATAAGTATAAAAAAATTCACTGGCCCCTGGACTATTAGGAATGTCGTTAAATTGTAACAAATTTAACTTATCATGAAATGTTTCATTTTTCCTTCTATAATTCTTAGAGAAAAATGGTTTAATATTTTAAATATTCTCTACACATCTAGAGATTTTTGTGTGAGAATCATGTTGATGAGAATACCTTATTACTAGCATGGTCATTAAGACCCTCAGTAGGGAATAGTACTAATACTAATATTATATTAGATGAACATTTTTCAGAGCTGCTATCATCAAATTCAGTTTTTAAAATATATACGAGGGTGGATTAATAAGTACCCGTGTTTGAAGGCAGATGGCGTTGCTGAGGGAAGTTGGCATTACTGTCGTGTACTGTCATCTGTCACACGAGACGATACTAAATTTCAAACTGATTCATGGGTTGGTTTTTATTTGGCAGCCACTTGTACCATACGTGTTTCGCATTAATCGATAAAATGGAAAAATAACAATATCGACCCGTAATTCGCTTTTTATTTCTTGATGGAAAAACATGCGATGAAATAAAAGCAAAGTTGGATGCTGTCTATGGGGGTCCTTTACCATCTATGACAACCGTAAGATATTGGTTCAACGAATTTAAACGTGGTCGTACATCTGTTTTTGATGAGGAGCGACCAGGTCGCCCGGCAGACGTTGTTACCGAGGAAATCGTTAAAAAGGTCCAAGACATGATTGTCGCAAATCGCTGAACGAAAGTGCGAGAAGTAGCAGAGGCCGTAGGCGTATCATATGGAATGGCAATTAATCTTTTTCATGATAAGTTAAACATGAGAAAGGTATCGGCCCGATGGGTGCCGCGATTGCTTAGGGTGGACAACAAGCCGATACGGCTGCCAATGTGTAACGGTTACTCTTCTAGTTCCGTTATTTTAATATTTTATAACTATATTTTTAAAATATTTGTCCCATCTCTATTGTCTAGTTTCATTCTGTCGCTACAAATATTTTATATAGTTATTTTTGGTTTTATAAGTTGTACGTTCGGATCGAAAGTGAATTTGACTTTCGACAGGTATTACTGGTAAAAGTCCTTTTACAACAATACCTCAGAACGAGGCAGTCGAGATTATTAAATCTGCTAATATTTAATTAATCTTAATAGTATGTGGTATTTTTATTAGTGGTGACAACCATCAGTATTTTATGGTGAGTAAAAGATTAATATTTACAAGATTTCTGCAAAGATTAACGAAATGGATCGGGATTTATTTAGTTGTTAAAAATGTGAGGTTAGATGTTTTAGAACGTGTCATTAATTTCTGTAAAGATCTATTTTTTATTCATTCTGTGTTCAGAAACATATTACCTCCTTATTCCTTATTTTTCCTTATTACGTAAACTTCAAAAAGGTCTCAATCTTTTAGATAAGTCAACCTTTGGATGGTTTAAATATACGCTGAGAAAATAGTTGAAAATATGGTTTAAAACACGCTGAGAAGATAGTTGAAGTTACGGTTACAAATATGTTAATTTATGGTTAGAAGGTATATGAAGTTATGGTAAAAAACATGTTAATTTATGGTTAGAAGAAAACACATCGCTGTAGTCCTTATTTGATCGACCCTTAAAGAAAGATTGAAGACCTAACACCATTCCTACTCTGAGATGTTTCATTTTTTATCACTGAAAATTAAATAAAGAAGTAATTTAAATGAATCATGGCTTGTGTAGATTGTAATTGTTACTTGCCTGCATAAACATATACATTCTTGTTTTAACATCAGTCATATTAATTATATTTGCCAAACTATTATAATTCACCTTAAATGATATGTTTATGTAAGTTTGGTGGCGCCCTCCTTCCCTTTCCTATAGTTAAGTTTTGTCAAGGATATTAAGTGCTACTCACGGCCCTAATTAAAATTGAGCTAAAACACGGTAAGTAAAACCAACATCACATGTTACAAATGTCAAAGCAGTGTTTGGAACTCTTTAATTGAAATTCGCGGGAGGTTTTCCTTCGAGTCGTCACCGTTGATGAAACCTGGATACATTATTATACACCAGAGACCAAACGACAGTCGAAGCAATGGATTTTTCGGGGTGAATCTGCTCCGAACAAAGCAAAGACGGTCCCATCGGCCGGAAAGATCATGGCCACGATTTTTGGGATTCTAAGGGAATAATCCTCATCAATTTTTTGCAGAAAGGAAGTACGATCACAGGGCAGTACTATAGTAAATTATTGGATTGATTCGATGCAAAATTAAAGGAGACACGGCCTCATTTGGCTAAGAAACAAGTCCTGTTTCACCACGATAACGCACCAGCACATTCATCGAGAATTGTCGCGGTCAAATTGCAAGAACTGCAGTACGAATTGCTGCCGCACCCACCGTACTCGCCCCACTTGGCTCCATGCGACTTTTTTCTATTCCCCAAGATGAAAACGTGGCTCGGGGGAAAAAATTCAGCTCTAACGAGGAGGTTATCGTCGAGACTGAAGCGTATTTTGCGGAGTTTGGGAAATCATATTTTTTGGAGGGGTTAAATAAATGGCAGAAACTTTGGGAAAAGTGTATAGCACTAAAAGGAGATTAAGTTGGAAAATGGAAATACATTTTTTTGAAAAACTTGCCTCTTCCTTTCTAACACGGGTACTTTTTGACCCACCCTCGTATTAGTAATGTTTTGATTAAACCCTCAATAGCCTGTTTTTTTTTAGTTATTTCTGAGTATGGAAATGTTTGAAATGGTATTTAAGTACGATAGACTGAATCTTAAGACATACATTATAGTTAACAAATACTAATAAAAAATTTATTTGAGGTGCCTAAGAGCCGCATGTGGCTCGCGTCCTATGTTTCTCCGACCACTGTGACTAGGTTATGTAGTGTTTAAAAATCTGGAGAATAATAAAAAAACAATAGAACGAATGATAAGATCAAACAGAACGTTTAAAATTTTATTAATTGTTATCTATTCTGATTGTTATTTTATCAGTTTAACGTATTGATTTCAGTTTGTTTTTTTCGATTCATATGAACAGGTAAGTACCAATTTGAAATTTTATTAGGATCATAAAAACGTTATATTCGCATAATATCTGATTTTAAAATAAATATACAATTTTTCTGTGTTTTAAGAAATCTGAATTCATATTTAGTAGAAACAATTATCGTCAAGATTGGTAAATTGCAGCTATCTAAGCGTAAATGCATACGACACACAGCCTACAAATTGACGTGCAAATTATGCATGCCGTGCGTTAGAAATGACTGAACTAAAAAGGATAATATCGGGGGAAGGGGGATTTGCCCTCCTTGCCCACAAGTGGCAGCGTTTCTGCCCAAATTGGGTTCTGGCAATGGCATAGTATGTAAATAGGACTTTCGTCCTCCACATATTCTACATAGGGAGTCATCAGATATCCCTAAGAGATGTAGGTGTCTTCTAAGGGCCCAGTGTCCCGTAAAGAGTCCTAGTACGGCCTTTAATTTGCTTCTATGAATATTCTGGACTGCCAGAGTCCAGGAAGTTTCAACCAGAGCCCGTGGTGTTTTATATTTATGTGTTCGTTTAGCACCCATTTAACATGTGATATTTTATACCACATGTGGGTGCCGGTCCAATCTTCCTTACTAGCCATAAGGTCTGCTTTTTATCCACTCTCATGTCTCGGCACCCATTCAAGAAGGACCTTGTTATGTTCTACCAGGGCTTAGTGGGACTGTTGGCAATCAAAGATACATGCATATGAATAATTTTAATTTTTTCCTACATAAAGTCATGTCAGTCTCATGTATTGAGGGAAACAGTGTTTTGATTAATATGTGCAGGTTTAAGATACTTCAAGACAGTTTAAAATAGCAACCGAATTATTATAGGTTATAGGTTGAAAATGAGTGGGATGATCTCATCGCCTTCCACTGGACAAAGATGGGTCTATTGTGGCTTATGACTAACTTATAGTTCACCGTACAGACTTCTTTAAAGTCGGTAGGTTTCAGTCGGGTAAATCCGAAGATCTGGAACCTGGTTCTTTCCAGAGCGGAGCAGGTACATGAAATGTACTCTGCAGACTCGTCCTCCACGCTGCAGAATCGACAGTCCGATGTTTGTTGCAGACCTATCCTTCTTATGTGGTTGCCCAGACGGCAGTGTCCTGTCATCAGTCCAGTGAAAATGCGTAGATCTTTCCTACTCCATTCTCGGATCTGAGCAGAGTCGTTCATAGAAGGGTTGGTTATAAACGCCTACGAATGGGTTAGCCCTGGGGTATCTCTCCAGTTCCTGAGTGTTGCACCTTTCGTCCATTTTGAGATAATTCCTTTGACAGTGCTTTTTGCAAAGCCCAGGAATGGTTCTGGTCCTATGAACACAGATTCTGTTCCTCTTTTAGCAAGTGCGTCGGCTTTTTCGTTGCCCTCCACACCACTGTGTCCTAGAACACAGATTAAAGTAACTTTGTTCCGGGTACCGAGGCATTCTAGGGTATTTATACATTTCCAAACCAGCTTTGAGTCAACTCGATTGGAGCTCAGGGTCTTAAGAGCTGCCTGGTTATTTGAAAAGATCTTTATAGTCTTGTTTGCGAGGAGAAAATTAATCAACTCTCTCGCTCCCAATTCTATAGCAATCATTTGTGCTTGGAAGATCGTGGCCAGAGAGCCTATGAATATTCTGGACTGCCAGCGCCCAGGAAATTCCTACTAGAGCCTATGGTGTTCTATATTTATCTCTTCCTTTAGCACCCATTTAACATGTTGGTATGAAATACAACATGTGGGTGCTGGCCCAATTAGAGTTTTCTCAGCTTCCTAGCTAGGAGGTCTGCTTTCTATCCACTCTCATGTCCCGGCACCCATTCAAGAGGAACCTTGTTATGTTCTACCCGGGCCTAGCGGGACTGTTGCAATCAAAGATACATGCATGTGAATATTTTTAATTTTTTTTCTGCATAAAGTCATGTATTGATTAATATGTGCAAGTTTAGTATAGTTCAATACAATTTAAAATAGCAACCGAACTAGAATTATAACTAAATAATTGTTAGTTTAGTGACAAAATCTATTTTTATGTAGCTAACCTTCCTTCCTCCTTTATAAATTTTCAAAAGCAATATATATTGATTTTAAAACAAAAAAAGTTTATTTTTATTTGTGTTCTTTTTGTAATTGGTGACACAATGAACTTTTCGTAACCAATTTCATGATATTCAACTGTATGTAACTAATTACATAAAGCAGAACCTTTTGACCTTTGCTGCGTTTACAAAATACATTTCCAGAACGTCATACTTAACTCGACTATATTAATAAGGTTACTTGAAGGAATCTTAGAAATAAATTTGAAATACTAAATATAATGGAACAATCAAGAAATTTATTTGCTGTTGCTATCTTCCAGAACAAAGTTCGCAACAGTAAAATTAATAGCCCTTGAAATGCTTTCATTACAGTCCCATTCAATCTTGCTTGGTGGCGTGGCGTACACGCACAACATTAATATACTAAATAAATGTGCTTTAGACAGAAGAGGCACCTCTTGTAACTGTTCTGAAACTAGTTAATAATTACATGTCAGTGAATGTTAAACTTCAATTTTCAATTCATCTAGTTCGAATTTTCTTATCGACACTTTTAAAACATAATTTAATTGTAATTTTTTTTGTAATCCATATATTTGCTGCGTTTGTTTATCTAATTTGAATACATCTGAAACGAAAGGGTGTAGAGGGAAATGTTTGGAACACAATTTTTGACTTCGTAAATTTGGACTAGTTCCTGCCCGTAGCTATGAGCCGGAGGGGAAGAGGGGGTGAGAAGGTCCCATTTTTCGGTTTTCGCTTATATCTCTAAAACTATGCATCCTAGCGACATGAACATATAAAATAAAAGCTTATTAAATTTGCATTTTATTCAGTCAAGTTTTTCAAAATCTTGTATTGTTTTCGATATATCAGCTCTTAAAAGTCTGTAAGTAATTTTTGCCTTACATATTTTGTTCTTTCTGACTGGATAACTCTTCAATAATATATATATTAGTTTACTTTTTAACTATTTCCCTTCAAATGTTACAGCAATTTCAAAATTGGTCGTTAAATCTGAAATTTTGCGACAACTGTCGACTAATGAATCTTTCAATTTCTCACCATTCCCAGTCAATATATTGGCCGAAATATGCATTATTATGTACTTATATAGATACTCATTTTAGAATATTTAGTTGTAGGACCTCTGACCAGGTTCCTCACACTGAATTAAAGAATATTTAGACCATTTGAATATTGTTATAACCATGTTTCTGCATGTATGAGTGTGATGGTTTTATATATCACAACCATTAACTAAAAATGAAAATTCCGGACAGTTCTTTAAATTTCCGGACAAAACAAAACTCCAAGTCATGAAATAATTATTAAACATTTTATTAAAAAAGTACCTTTCTTCAAAAACTTAAAACAAAAACAGTTCGTGAATAAAAATTTGTGAAATTAAATATAAAATATATAATACAAAGGGCCATACACAAACACAACTACACAAGACAACGACCGTTTATTGAATATTTACATAAAAAATAAATTATGAAAAAATAAAAGTTAATTTCAACGGCCAAAACAACTGTTTATAAGGGATTTTAAGTATGCCTTAATACTTTTGATGATTTTCCAGAAAATTCCGGACAAATTACAATTCCCGACGCATTCCGGATAAAATACCAAAATTCCGGACATGTCCGGACTTTTCCTGACGTCTGGTAACCCTAACCATGGCCGACTAAAAGACAATTTTAAAAGACGTTTTTGTTTATTTCTTATGAAAAACTATTAAGATAAAGCATTTGGTCATCGCTAGCAGGTGGTGCTTAACTCGCTATTTTTTTAGGCCAGCAATCGGCATTCGGTTATGAGATTGTGAATAGCTTTGGTTAATTTGTACAGTGGTCTGATTAAAAAAAACATTAATTGATTACTTAGTGTTATTTTATTATAAAGGTGCTTTCAATAGTCATAATTATAAATCAGTTAATCTGTATTAATTGTGATCTCTTACGAATTATGAATATTCAACAGAAAACTGAGATGAGAGATGAGACTATGAGATTGTTAGTATAATCGAGTGTGACCCAGTTTCAGGATAATAAAAATAGCTATGTATTACCATCTGTGCGGATTTTGTAAACAAAGATGATACATAAATTAATATATATTGATCATATCGTTACTTGAACGAATCTTTTAAATGAGAGCTTGTATCGTGATTTATGTTTCTTACTTTCCCTAAATCATATTTCCACCTTATATTATGGAATTGTCCATATGTAAGGTATTGACAATATTATTTGGGAACACAACCTGCCACACTGAACCGACGCGTCGACACTTAGGTTACTATTATACTCAGGGCTAACCACCCTGAAAAGGAGGAGAACTTCTATAGCAGAGTATTAGGAAAATAAAATGTCTTAGAAAATGTAAAATAAAACTTTAGAAGAAATAAATATTAAACTAAAAAAAACTGAGCCGGGTAGTCAAGATAGACTAGGTCTTCTCATCACTCAAATCCAGTAGGTGGCAATCGCTACGAAGGAAAAGTGATGACGCAGCTGTGTTCTCTTTACTGTAATCCAAACCTACGTGAAATGTATATTTGTAGGTACAGATAGGTACAGACCGAATGATGTCAGCAAATTTGCAGCCAGATTTACTTTTTGTTTCTAATAAACCCAATAGATTAGTTTGGGGCTAATACCCCAGACATAGTTAATTCTTCTGAGGATCTAGAGGGATTGTCTGGTTTTGTTGATAATTTCTTCGAATTGAGAATTCCAGGTAAGTTTTTGATTAAATGTAACTCCAGATATTTCACCTTCTCCACAAAAGGAACAGTTTCTCTAGTCAAGGTAGGCTGTTAGAGCTTGTCGAATTTTATTCTTTTGGCGAAGAGGACAACAGTTTTCCAGGGGTTAACATATATCTGCTCTCTCTAGCATCTTTCTGTTTCATTCTGGTTCAGAAATTAAAGCACCTTGATGTTGACAGGT